ATGGAGATCGTGTGCTCGATGCCAGTCTTGACCAATGCAAAATCAAGCGTGAGTCCCTGGCCCTTGTCGCACGTGGCGGATCCAGGCGCTCGCACAATGGTAGCATTCCATTTGGCGGGCCACTCTGTCGCTGCGAGCTGCTCAGGTGTCATATTCCAATCGGCCAGGATGATCCAAGGGTCCGTGAGCATAGTAACGAAGGCTCCCAGCGAGAGTAGCTCATCGTGCACTGCACCCTCGATCTGCCTGTGGGGTTCCAGATACGCTGCAATAGCGACCAGGTTGCCAGAGCGTCTGTGCCATACCATGGGCGTGAAGCCGCGGAACGGGTCGGGCCTGCGCTGGGAGATGGCCAGGTAGCGGAGGTGGTTGAACGTTGTGGCCTGGACATGGTACCTGGAAAGGATAATCTCGCCACCCGTGTTGCCTCCGTCTGATCTGCTGGTCGGCGTGGCCGTAGTCGATGATATCCTCCAGCCGTCTGCTGCTAGCTTGTCGTGGATGAGAGGCGCTTTTCCATGCGAGATGTGTGTTTCAACCAATGCCACCATCTGATATTGTTTGCCTGGCCCTGCCAGCCATTTCTCCGACTGTGGCCCCCACTGAGTAATGTTGGAGAAGAACAGGGAGTGATCTGACGGCGTGGGCTTCGTAGGGCATTCGTCTTGGTAGAGGGGTCTGGGGTCGGGTCTCGGGCTGCTGGGCTTCCATGAGCCTTTCCCTGCGGTCAAGTCGACAGCTTTCGCCATCTCATCGCCCCCTACCAAGGACTGCGTCTTGGGCGGGGCGGCATCAGGGTTTGCCATTGGCGAAGGCCCCCCTGGTTCCTGTACCACATGCATGTCGACAGCTTGGGCCGTCTCATCGCTCCCTACCGAGGACAGCGTCTCGGGCGGAGCGGCATCAGGGTCGGCGCGCGTGGCACGCTGCGGCTGCCCTGGGTCCCATGCCACTGGGTCGACGGACTGTGCCGCCTCATCGCCCCCTACCGAGGACAGCGTCTCGGGCGCGGCGGTAGCGTACTGGTCTGTGGGTGCGAAATCGATGTGGGCGTCCAACTCGGCCAGCTCGTCGAACGGGTCGAGGACTGCGTCCATTGTGTTGATGATCGGTGGGTTGTCGTAGCTCTTGGTCTCTGACGGTAGGCGTCCCGTCTCACCATTCCGTCCAGGGTCGGGTTGTAGGCGGCTAAAGAGGCTGCTGCGCTCCAGCCGCGGCGGTCGCAGTGGGCTTGCGCATCTGGCTGAACATCTTCTGTGCCTTGTCTTCGAGGTCGGGGTCCTTGTTGATCGCTGGTACAGGCTGTGCGGCAAAGCTGCCGTCAGAAGTAGCGCCAGCAGCAGGTGCGGGAGGCTCATCGCTTGGCGCCGCTGGCGAAGAGGCCGCAGCGCCCTCAGCGTCCGCTGCAGCTGCCGCTGGGGGTTCACCTGCTGCCGCTGAGGCGGCGGGCGGTGGTCCACCTCCCTCTCGGGCGTGTCCATCCTCGTCGGACCGCTGCCGCTTGGAGGCGAAGCGCGTGCGCATGGTGCTGGCCTCTGCGCGGAGCTGGCTGATGCGGCTGGCGGTGTTGCCGAAGAGCTCAGTGACCTTGGCCTTGAGCTCCGTGGCGAAGCGCTGTTGGAGGGATTCCCATGCCTGGCGGTCACTGTCGTCGATGTCGAGGCCTTGGAGATCGAACGCCGAACCCGCTTCGATGGATATGTCGCCGTCCTCGAGGAGGCTGGTGAGGTTGAACGTCGGGTTCTGCTGCGAGGCCGTGGGAGTAGCTGTGCCGCCCTTGCGAGCGACTTGGAGTGCATCGAGAGCCGCTTGGGCCTCGGCCTGGGCTTCTGCCAACTTGTAGGCGGCCTCCTCCGACGCCGCCTTGCGCTCGGTGTACCAGCTGAGCGCCTTTTGCTCGCTCTCGAGCAGCCTCTCCAGGTTGTTCTTGCAGCGGCGCTCCGTAGCCTGGGCGCGGCTGTAGATGTCGTTGAGGTCGGCTGGCTTCTGCGGCTGGGGCGGCGGAATCTGCGACTTGATGCCGTCGATGGTTGCCTTGTCGATGTGGGGGGCGATCGCCAGGAGCTCCGCAAGGATGTCCTCTGCGGAGCGCGCCTTGGGGGTGTCGTTCTTGTTGGCCCACCAGTCGTCCTCTTGGTTCTTGCCATTGCCATTGCCGCGGCGGCGGCGGGACTTGGGCCATGAATACCACGGTTCCCATCCACCCTCGGGGCTGGGCTGCTGGGTGCAGTTGGACTCGGCCTGGGCTGCGGCCGTGGCGCGGGCCGCCCAAACACCTTGAACTGGAGGCGGGGAGTCTGTCCACGGCGCCAAGGCTTTGCTGCACCAGTAGCACGTCTGCTTGGTCTTCCAGTTCCAGGCGTACGAGCAGGAGTAGCACTTGACGTAGGCGCTGCGCTGCTGCGGAGGCGCCATGGACGAGCTGAGGAACAGAGAAAGCTCACCTGCGGGCTGCAGGAGGCACACGGAGAGTTGAACAAAGCTGTCGGGCTCAAGAGCCCTGGCACTGGCCGCGGACTAGCGGTATCCACTTGTTCCCCTGTGGAACTAGGCATCTTGAGCCAAAATGGCTACGGAGGGGGAACGGCGGAGGAGGAGGAGGAGGAGGAGGAGGAGGAGGAGGAGGAGGAGGAGGAGGGGGGGAGGGGGGGGGGGAAAGGCGGAGGGCGGGGGGGAGTGGGCCTTCGGGAGGCGTTCCCACTGCACCCCTGGCGCCTACGGGAGCCCCTCTCCCCCCGCAGAGCGAAAGCCGACGCCGACGAAACACGACATCGGAGACCTGCGTTCGACCATCACCCAGGATCGGGGAGACGTAAGACTCGGGTACGGGGGACTCGGGTCGGCCTGACGGGGCCATCATAAAAATGACGAGACCCAATCTGAAACCTGACGCGAACTCCCGCTGCAGACACCCCACGGAAACAGGACCGTCAAAATCCAGGACGAGCTCGTCAATAAATGTCGGGGAACTTCTGACCAGTGTCAATCCAAACCCAAGTCAGTCAAGCCTTGCAGAATCCTGTAAGATCCTGCACCCAAACCCGGGTCAATGCGAAGAATCCGGCAGGATCCTGCACGCAAGCCCGGGTCAGTGCGACCCTGGCCCTGCAGGACCCTGCAAGATCGGGCGCTCTGGAAGACCCCCGTTTGCACTGACCCCCGTCGCAAGGCTCCCGAAAATGTCGGCTAACCCGAGTTCTGGCTTACTGCGGGGTGCAGATTAGCCGAGGCTCGCGGGGCGCGGGCGGCGGGCGATTCCCTCCCGAGGGCCGAGTCGGGACGCAGGCCCGCGAGGCGGGGTTTCGCAAGCGGTTCGCGGCGGGACGGCTGGCGGGTCTGGCTGTGCGCCGAGGACTGGTGACAGGAGTCAGGTCGGGCATGTCCTCCGACAGAGAGATTTGAGACGAAAAATCAAACATAGTCAAAACATACTCGAACAACTCTCCAAAATGATCAAGCAATAGTCCCCAGACTATTTGTTTCCTGAGTTCAAGTGTTCCTCCTGTAGAGGGCCAGGCCCGATCTCAGCCAAGAACAACCCATGAGAAAAGACAAACTCGCACCGCGGAGCCCGACCTCAGCCACGCCCCCGAGGGCGAAGTAACACCTCTACGGTCGGGAGCGTTGTGTCGCCGAGGCGGCCCCGGCGGCTCGGGACGTTGACGCCTCGGGACCGTGAAGTGAATAGCGTGTCGCACCGAGGCGAGCGATGGGCCAGAGCCTGCGGCACGATACGCCACCCGAGAATTCCCGACCGTAATACCCTTGGGCTCGGTCGCTCCGATCTCATGCCGTCTTCCGAACCCGCCTGCCTGCCCCATCCCAACAGAGAACTCCAATGTCCCAGCGAAAGCGCCCCGCGAGGCCAAGGCCTCCTGTTCCGATTCCTGCCCTCGTGGTCCTCTCAATCCCTTCCCGCCTCTCCTGCTTAGTGGTGTCGGCAGGGTGGGGGGGGCTGAAGCTCAGGGGGGGACAAAACGACCTGGATGAATCCGCGATGCGCCTTCGATAGCGAAACAGGACGTCCCCAGAGAGGGTGGGGTACCCAAGCGCTGATCTGCGACGAAGGGGCGGTTGGAGGAGGTGATGCGCCATTCCCACTTGGGGACCAACATGAACACAACTGCCACTGCTCCCCGGACCTCTCCCGGCGTGCGCTCTGAGCAGAATTCCGCAGGGAATCCAGCCGCGGCGACGAGGGCGCTGCGGCAGGGGCGGCGATTGCGGCACAGTGGGGGCCCGACCTCGAGGAACCTTCCACGAGAAACCCAACCCTGAGACCCCAGGACGTTCATCAATTTTTGGCGTGGGAGCGTTACGCATTCCATGGCGAAACCATCGAAATTCAAGAAGCCCAGGGCACCCTAGAGGCAAGCAGGGTGTTTCTTGGCGTGGGACTCCACTGAATCTCTATTTCCCCAGACCCCCTGGGCCAGGCCCCACTTGCCGTTGTCCCTGATCAGCTACAGCCAACCCGTCTAGGAAGGATGCGCAACAAGGACGCAAGGGCCCTGGACGCCCATCTCGAAGCTTTTCGAACAGGGCGCGGCCAACGAAAGTCGCCAGGGATGGACCGAGGAGGCAAGGATGCAAGGGGTACCCCCTTGAGAACGTTGCTCATACTTACTGCGCGGGCTGACTTAGAAGACGGAAGAACTTCATGAACATAAATATTTGGCGCTCCGCGCGGACTTCTTGGCTCTGCGCTGGACCCCCTCCCTAGCGCGCGGAACGCGCCAGGGGCGGCGCCAGAGGCACCGGCAGGGGGGCCACAACGCGGATCCAAGAACTCCGCGCGGAGCGCCGAAAGTTTATGTTCATGCCGTTTTTCCTGCTTCGGTGAAGGAGGATGTGGGATGGGAGGAGGAGGAGGAGGAGGAGGAGGAGGAGGAGGAGGAGGAGGAGGAGGAGGAGGAGGAGTAGGAGAGGGAGGAGGAGGAGGAGGAGGAGGAGGAGGAGGAGGAGGAGGAGGAGGAGGACGCAGGAAGAGGACGGAGGACCATGTCGTGAATGCTGTCGTAGACGAGCTGCACCTCGTCCGGCGCCGCGCCCTCGGGCGTGCGCTCCTCGGCCTGCGTGCGCGCCGAGGTGCGGCTGCGCCGCGCGCGCAGCCCCTCGGGAGCGCGGAGCGCACGGCACCGCCCTCCCCCTGCGCACTTCTTTGGTTGACCCACAAAGGGCGGTCCAGCTGAAAGGGGGTGGTGCAATACAGTCGGGGCGTTGACCTAAGGAACCCTAAATAAGGAACGAGGCCCCTTTTTTTTCTCCATAAGTTAAACTTCGATTTCCTTTCGAAAACATCAGGAACACCTGAGGCAAGCTGTGAAACACTTAAGGAACGCGGAGCCCCTCCCCAACGAAAAGGGTTCCTTCTTCAGGGTCCCGGCTGTAGATTTGGGGCTGTTGTTTTGCGAATGTGTTGCGCTGGAGAACTGTACTGCGCTGTCCTGCAATTGATGCATTGCACGCGAAAGCCCAGCAATACATTCGCGCACCGGAATGTATTGCACGCCGCAAGTATATTGCAACTCCACACATCTATTGCCCCAAGTCCGCCGACCCCTTGTGGGTCTCCAGGCGTGTGAGATTGGGAGCCCGGCGGCGGCTGCCTCCGCGACGAGGGCGTCCAGGGCGAGCGCGAGGAGCTCGGCCTCCTCTGGCCGGCGCGCCTCGGCTCGGCGCAAGGTGTGC